GACAAGAATCTTGTCTGAACAATCAGAAATAAAAGAATCAGGCAAGAATTATAAGATATTCAAGATATATTCAATATTCACACAAGAATCTTATTCTTTTCTTTTAAAAAGAATTTTGTCTGAAAATCAAGAAAACAAGAAACTGGAAAGAAACACAAGACATTTAAAATTTCTTAGCATTCAGACAAGATTCTTGAAATAAAAAAGAGAAAAGATTCTTGCCAGCTTTCCAAGATGAACGGCACGTGATATGGTCTTTGTTTATCACATATATAAAAGCATTGGCTGACCGTTATTTATTCATAATCATTACTGACGGAATAAGTATAGTACACATTCACTTATACTATTTTAATTTCCTAAACCGTTTATTTAGTTTGGACGACATCTAGTAAGTTATTATTTTAATTGGATGTATAGTAAAAGTTTATTTCATATCAAGAAAACAATGGAATATATGATATCCATTTTCTCATTGTTCCCTGAAAATAACCTTTATTGAATAAATTTTGATATTTTTCTAACTCATATCTCTATATTTTATTTTTTTTCTGGATTTTTTCACTACCGATAAAAGTATCACATATAATGGGCGTAGAAAATATCGATTCATTTAAAAAATTATTGTTTGATAATCCCTTTGATACAGGTAAAATTTAAAAAAATAAATAAAATAAGTTTTTTCTATACTGTTTTTTTTGTGTTAAAAATTGAAAATGTTTCTTAAATATGTGAAATTTAAAGTATTTTTTTGTTCTTTCATATTTTTTTGTACGTGGTGTGAAAAGTGTATAATAAAATAAAATCAAAATAATAGTAATAACCTAGAAAAGGCTTCTTTAATATGACCAGAATCAGACAAGTAACCCAAGAAATCAGAAGCAGACAAGAAAATCAAGAATCATAAGAATCAGACAAGAATTCAAGAAAAACAAGAATCAGGCAAGAAAATAAGAGAACAAGAATTTGTCTGGAGAAGAATTTCTTGCCTCATCAGGCATGATTCAGTCTACAAAAATCTTTAAGAAAGGCAAGATCAGTTTTTTCAGACAAGAATCTTGTATGTAAGGAGTTTTCAGGCAAGAATCTTACATGTAAGGAATAGAAAAAGAATCTTGCTTGAAAAGCAAGAAAAACAAGAACCTGGAAAGAAGAGGACAAGAACGTCGACTAGCGTAATTCCATAAGGGATGTTTATAATTATAAAAGAATATTATTCATAAACATATTGTCTACGTGTGTAATATCTACTTTGAAGATAAAGTTCTTATAGATATTTATAATATTTTAATTATATTTTCAATTACTGTCCTTAATAAATTTATATAAAAAAAATGAGGTTATAGAGTTACAAAGAGATAAATTCATGCAGAACGTTGTCTACTGACAGTAAAGAGACATTTCCGATATATAAAATGTAAAACTTAAGAGAAACGACGAGAAAATAAATGAAGGAAATACAAAAGACACTGATTTTGTCTTTTCTGCAAGTAAAAAATCATGGGATGAGAAAAATATTTTGTTCATTCTGTATCAAACGTAAGGAGAACAGCACGTCTCGTCAATAACATTTCCTTCTTTTTCTATATAAACAACTTGTGTGTTTTTCTTATCTATTCCACAATCATCTAAATGTATTCAATTCAATATTATATCATATTTTTAGAATACAAATAAAAATGTTAACTACAAATACAATGTTAAATTTTCCATTAACAAAAAAACAAAATTTATCAGAATGTCGAATATGTGGCGCTCCTGCTCAATATGTAAATTTTGGCGCTGTTTCATGTCATTCATGTAAAATGTTTTTTAAACGAAATGCTACTCTTAAACAAGTTAGTTTTAATTATCTTTTTTTAATTTTTAAGTAAAAATTATTCGTTTGATTTAGAAAACATTTAAATGTAATTTTGATGGGTACTGTGAAATAAAACGAGATAATCATCATATGTGTGCACCATGTCGACTTAAGAAATGTTTTCAATATGGAATGACTACTAACAAATTTCGACCATCAAGACCGACTAAATTAAAAACTAAATCATTAGTTAAAGTAGAACCACGATATCAATCAGAAAAAGTAAGATAATAAAAATTTCCAAAAATATTCTTCTTATTTATTTTTTAGTTATCAATAATAAATTCTTTAAAACCAGATCATTCATTATTGACTAGTAGTCAATGGACACTTCTCTCAAATTTATATAATACTTTTGATGAGTCTCAAGTTTCATTACTCAGTAAATCATTAGTAGATACACATAATTCTTTACAACCAATGAATGTGACATATCAAAGACTTGTAGAAAATTTTTTATTATCTACTTTTGAATCAGCAGGAAGATATCTCCGTTTGAATGATGATATTTGTAAATTATCATTTACTGATCGTTCTATTTTACTTCGTAATGCTGCAGATAATATATCTTGCATGGCTTCTACATTTATTATCCGTCATTTTGATTTATTTAGTCTAGATTCTTTTCCGAAAGTTTTGGCAACAATGTATGACAATCATGCACTCTCTCTGACTATATGGACAATGAAATTTATTAATCCAGATATTATAATATTTAAATTAGCACTTTCATTATTTTCTTTATCAAAAACTACTTATTTATATTCTCCAGATATTTCGATAGATTCAGCAAATTCTTCTACAATATATCATATTCAAAATAAATATGCAGAAGTTACATGGAAATATCTTATTTATAGATATGGCTGGTATGAAGCTGTTAAACATTATCATAGTATCATACATTGGCTTGTGGCTTTAACTACGTCTATGTTCTATGCACAAACTTATAGTATACATGTTGAAAATGTTGATTCAGTTGTTGAACTAATTGAGCTTACACTTATACTAGATGATGTTGAAGAAATAATCGAAACAAAATAGAAGTCAACGATTTTCATGTTATATGTGCTTATTGTTTGTCTTATAGCTGAATCTTTAATATATACAAGCCGAAAATAAATTCAAAGTATATTTATTTGACAGTATTGATCAAATCTTTATAGAATATCAATGAAATAAATTATGAAAATCTTAATCGAATGCGAAGATACATTTACTTATATACGTATTTTCTCTTCATTTCATTATCGTGAGGATGTGGGTGTGTGGATGTGAGTTTCCGATCATTTTTTTAATATCCACACCCACACCCATCGTAATTTGTGAAAAAATATGAAAATAAGACCCTTCATTTTAAAATAAGATTGAAGAGATGAATAACATATTCAATCACATCAAAACTTAGCTTTTTTCTAGCTGAGCACCTAACATGCAATCAAATTATTTTTACTTAAACTCTTTTATTGACTAAACGTTACTTAGAATAAGACACATAACATATAAGCATGTGGCGAATGATATTAATTGAGAATCAGTAGTAATGAATCTTATTTTCACTCAAGGACAACACAAAAAGTAATAATATATAAATGTTCATTAATTTTGTCTTTTTTTAAAATTGTGACTTTGGTCGATTTTTGAGATATTCTGCAATTCGAGGTTGTTTTTCTACTTCTACACGATTTTGTTTTAACCATTGATGATTATCTAATGCATTTTTATTTAATCCAAGAAGAGTTTCTGTTACTTCATAAAATAATAAATCTGCCCATGTTAAATTATTACCAACAAAGAATGAACCACCATTACCAAATTGTTTAGCTAAAACTTCTAAATTTTGTAAATGTTTTGGTAATTCATTTGCAAAGAAATTTTTCACCATTTCTAATTGTTTTGTTTCATCTTTTTCAAAACGAATTGGTAAAAATTGTGCCATTGCATCAGCAATTGTATCAACAACAGCATCTACTTTTGCTTGTTCAAAATTATCTTTTCCAGCTAAATGAAATTGTTTAGCAAGAAAACGAGCAATAGCTCCTGATTGTGGTAATTTAACACCATCAACTTCTAGAACAGGCATTTGCTCTAATGGCATTTCATTTTTATGTGATGCCCATTCACTATGTTCATAACGAATATCTTCGAATTTTTGATCGGCAGCAATAAAAATTAGACGAGCAACTTCAGCACGACCACGAGTATTAAAATAATAGAGTTTATATGTCGACATCAATGGTAGTTAGTTGTAAGAAAAAGAAAGAATGTTGCGCACACAGGGATATTTATATGAGAAAAGAAAAAATACCACGTGTATGTTGTTTTTGCCACATCATTATGCTTAAATACCAAGAGGAAAAGAAAAAAATGAAAGGACGACGTTGTATTTTTATTTTGAATAAAAAAAAACAAATCTCTTAGCTAATCAAAAAAGAATATGAATGTTCATTGGTTTTTTTTCTATACTTTAAAATGATGTTTGAGGTCGGTTTTTGAGATATTCTGCAATTTTTGGTTGTTTTTCTACTTCTTCACGATTCTGTTTCAACCATGGATATGTATCTAGACCATTTGTATCGAATTGAAGAATATTTGCTGATACATCATAGAAAAATAAGTCAACCCATGTTAAATTATTACCAACAAAGAATGGACCACCATTACCATATAATTTACCGAGAGTATCAAGATTTTGTAAATGTTTTGATAATTCTTCACTGACAAATTTCTTTATAAGTTCTTGTTTTTTAGTTGCATCTTGTTCTCGACGTATTGGTACATATGCTGAAATTAGATCACCAATTGTATCACCGACAGCATCGACTTTTGCTTGTTCAAAATTATCTTTACCTGCTAAATGAAATTGTTTAGCAAGAAAACGAGCAATAGATATTGATTG